ATGAACCCAAACTGTAGCTTCAAGATAATTCTCTCTGTTTGCCCTGTAAGTTCCTTGGAGGTAAATACCAGATTTTATTCCTTGCTGCAATTTGCTAAGAGGAATATGTTCTGGGAATATTATTTTTCCACCTTCTATTTCTTTCTTTAGGAAAAAAGAAAAAGAGGATATTTTCAGTATTTTATATTCATGTTAATTTCAATACATGTCGTGGAACACGACACACTGAAGCTAACAAACTCCCTAATTGTAACTGTGTGTAGGTATGAATATGCACAACAATAAAAAACAATTATTAAGCAGTACCTTTTCTAGTGAAGCATCAAAAGCATAAAAATGTGGCAATTCTAGGACCTTTTCCTTTTATTTTCCTGCAGTTACTAAAAAACGTACTGCACAATGTTATGTTGATTTGGGTATAGTGACTAAACAGATACTTAACAAAGAAAATATTAGCATAGTAAAGAGTATGGCACATAGTGTATGTACTGTAAGCTATAGGAAACATTATGAAAATACATTATGTAACCAAAGTTTGGAGCAGTCAGACAATTGCTCACACCTGAATGTTCTACAGTTAACTGCTGAGAATACCTGAGCCCTCCTTCTTCCCACTCTTGCATAGAGCTCTATTCTGTTAAAACTCTGATTAAATTAACTTCCCTATTTTTGTAGTGAGTGTTCAGCTACATCAGTTGTGAACATATGAGTCTTGATTCTGATAAACACAAAGCACAAGGAAGTAGAAGAGGATATAGCTCATATTTGAGCTGCAGCCTGTATTTATGTCAACTTAACTAATAACCAAATAAAAATGCTTTTGATCAATAACTTAACAGATTTTCCAGCAGACACAAAACAAAGATCTAAATGGTTTGCAATGTATTTTGTTTTCACTTTGTTGTTTCTGTTATTATTCTCATCTTCACAATAGTTATCTAAAGCAACTGGCTTTTTACAGATAACAAGATGCATAATAACAGGCATATAAGCAGAACTAAAAATAGCTGCAATATTTCCTTTTTACTTTTCAGTTGTCAAAAAGTTAAATTGCCAAAATGGTAATGAACTCCAAACTCCTTCTATTCTAAACTGATGCCAGTACCCTGACATACAGTATGCAATATTGTACTGCAAGCCGTTCATGATCAATTTATTTTATAAAAAGAAAATAAAAACATACCCCTTCATCAGATACACAAGCAAGACGATCTACAAGCTCAGGATTAGCTGTCAAGCTTTTTATATACTCCTCACCTACAAAAGCACACACGTAAATATTTAGGTAAGAGATGCATGGGATTTAGGTACCAAGTGACTGCTCAGTTTATTTGAGCAATAAATTAAACATACATATACTGGTTCACTTACATGTATAAGCAGTTATTCCTTCCTCCAGAGCTTTCTCTTTATTAATTCTGTCATTTGTTAAAAAGATAACTTGAATCTTTTCCTCATCCTCTATTTTCTTCAAGTGTTCATTGTACCATTTCACTGCTACCCGAATGGCTCTGTCATTGCGGTCATTAGCAGTTTCTCCCCGCTTCTGCTCTATGTACGTTTCCCTAAATCAATTTTAAAAAGAAAAGGGAGTGTTTGACAAACCAAAATAAATCTCAGCATCTATCTATACTTAAAATTTTCAGACAAACAAGATCAAGACTGTTAGGCCAAAAGTATCATTATTGTACCTATTGTTATAACATGTGCAACACCCACGAGGCCACTGAAGGGCCAGGAGACATGGGTAAAGGAAAATAGTAAGTGCTAATTTCCAACACAACATCCTCACACACAGTTGAGAGGTTTGCATTCAAGCTGTCAGAACTATGGATTCAAGATTCCTTGAACTACAATACTGCAGTATCATAGTATTGGAAACTAGTTGTGAGCACAAACAAAAGCAAATTAATTGCATCTCCATTTCTCAGAACTGTCACTAACTTAATGGATTTTTGAATTCTGCTACAGACTAAACTAACGATATTGGTAAAGCATTGGAATATGTTTAAAAGGGACACTAAAATGGAAAATCAGTACCCTATTGCTCAAGATAACAATGCTGTCTGTAAAGCTTATTCAATATTCTAACCCTCTTTACATAATATATATGGATTAATACCAGCTATGAACAGAAAAACTCCTGTAACACCAATTACTTCCAAACAGGATTCCTTACAAATATACAGTTTTATGACACCAGTGTAATTTTTCTGCCTGTCCACATGTTCCGGTCTTGTTTTCCACTTTCTTTTACTGGCTATCAGCATAATTTTGTTATGCCCCATTGCACCTCTTACCTGTGATGCTCATTGGTGAAAGAATAGAAATGTTTTTCTGGGTTTTGAATCACGTCCCTGATTCGCTTGTACACGGGCGCACTCCGACTCCTGACTTCCTGTAGGACTGTCTGCAGCACAATGACATTCTTAATAACAGGATCTTCAAGGATATCAATCTGAGGAACAAAATGGAAATGAAGCAAAATTGTTGTTAAATTCTGTCCAATAACATTGAAATATTTCCTTGGCTAATACACGAAAAGCTAACATGAGTAATGAGTGGCTTCTTCTGCCTTTTTCCCCTCATCACTGGGAAACTGAACAATGTATGAAGTTGCTTTCTCCTCCTTCTGGGAACAAAAAGTCAAATAGGATTTTCCAAGCCCTTTGTGAAGATAAGGACTTATTCTGACTTCCAACAATTCGCCACCAGTGTGTGCAGAATTCCAGACAAATATAAGGTCAAGTACACTATAAATTTTGCTAACATAAAATGGGTTCCTATAAAATTTACCCTTAGTAAACAAAATGCAACTATGCACAGTCTGATGGAAATCTGATGTAATTTACAGGCTGCCTGCCTCTGTGAGGATTGCAAGCCATAAAATGGTACTCAACTACTCTTACACAGCTGGAGTGCCTATGGATGTGTAGGTTTGTGTTCTCCAGAAACAATTCCACTGTTAAACTGAAATTTTCACTTCCATGGATTCAAATCAATGGGCATTCTGTGAGCTGCACTTCACTTTTGAAAGACCTTTTTCTTTTTTAAGGAATTTTGTTTAAATTTTCAGCACTTTTCTTTGCCAGCTCCTGACATCAAGACAGAGAAACAAATATACACTAGAAATCCATGTAATCTGTTGGGGGGAAAAGATGGGAGCTTCACTTCCTAACCTCGTGGCAAGAAACTGTGCAAACCCACCTGCAAAATGAGACAGCCATAAGGCTCTAGAGGGCATAGCTAAAATAAAAAGCAATACCAGACCAAGCTCCTGTGAACCTGATGTTTACACGACCTGAAAGATTTAGAACCATATTCATAGGAGAAGAAATCCAGCATTATTATATGCATAAGCTGAAGCACCAAGCAAAGCCTTACTGTGGCAAAACTGTTTCAGTTTCTAGGCTAAACCTTTCCCTACCTTTACCAAGGCTTCCTAATCCCCACTTCTCCAGTTTACCTTAGCACACCCTGGTACATTCTCAGAGCATTCTACAGGACACACATACAAATTTCACCAACAAGACACCAAGAAATCCATTTGTGAGAGGCTGAAAGCATCCCTTGACCTGCTGTTCTGGGACGAAAATCCTTACAAATCTGAGACCTCTGCTAAAACACACAAGTGTTGTTCCCCTCTCCAGAGTACTCAAGTTAGAACTCAGTAATTAGCTGCAGTCTCCTATATGTGCACATGGTTGTTTTATCTTCTATACAGGTATTCAAAAACAATGAAAGGAAAAATTGAAACATCAAGCTTGGGAATTCCTCCCAGCCTCAAAGTTTACTGTCTGCCCTGCTCAGACCCAATTCTCTGCACAGCTATGGATGGGCTGCAGAGTTAAGTTGCTCCCATGCTTCCAGAGTTATACATGGGATGATTTCGCACCTCCTATTCATTACATGAAATCAACATCAGAGTATAAAGAACCTAAACCTACGCCCTGAAAAGCAGAAGAGGCATTTCGAAAAATTCAGTGACCACAGAAGATCCAAAAATTCAGTGATGACACGAAGATCTCAATTACTACTTCAGAGTCCACCAGCTTTCTCTGCTTCAATTTTCATTTCCATACAAGATGGAAATAAATAGACAAATAAATACTGTTCTTTATTCCTACTATTCAAAAGAAACCATAAAAACCAAACCCAACAAAACAACAAGAACAAGAAAGAAAACCACAAAACTAACAAAACCACACGCACGCACACTTCCCACGGCCCCCCTCGCCATAAAGCTGGAACACAGTCTAAGACCAGACCAGGTTCGCTTTTGCTGCAGCCTTCTCCTCAGGAGCTGGCCGGGAAAGACAAGGCTAGACAAGGCAGAAAGACCCAGGCAGGGATCAAGCAGCCACAGGAACACGGCAGGAGCCAGGCCTACAGAGCGCTGCCAAACGCAGCTCTCCACAGCGACAGGAACTTACACCCACAGGGATTTAACAGGGCCGGCGCAGGGAAGGCTGCAGCTTCCACGTGGAGCCCGGTCGGGCCCAGAGGAAGGCAGCGGCTGGCCCTCCCCGGCGCTGAGGCGGCCACACCGTCCGTCCGTGCGTCCGTCCCGGAGGCTCACCTGGTGCAGGAGCAGGTTGGTGTCGGGCAGCAGGAAGTGCGGCCCGGGGCACAGGCGGCTGCCGGGGCCGCTGGGCCGCGCCTCCAGCCCGGGCGCGCTCCCGGTGCCGCTCCCGGTGCCGGGCGCGGGCGCGGCGGGGGGGCAGAGGCGGCACGCGGCGGCGCCGCACGCGATGTCGTCGCGCAGGTAATGCTCGCGCACCACCTTCACCACCGCGCCCGCCCGCGTGCGCTTCACGAACGTCCGCGAGGTCAGCATGGCGCGCGGGGAGCGCGAGGCCGGCGGGAAGCGGCGCGGGAAGCGGGAATCGGCGCGGGAAGGGCACAGGAAGCGGCGCGGGAAGCGGGAAGCGGCGCGGGAAGCGGCGCCCCGGTCGCCGCGGTGATGGCGTGGCGCGCGGCCCCGCCCCCGCCGCGCCGAGGGGAGGCGGAAGCGCGCGCGCGCGTGTCGTGCCGCCGCTGCCCCGGGTGCGTGGGGCAGCGCCCAGGAGTGATCCAGCCCGGGCCGCTGCTGCCCAAGCCTCGCCGCTGCTGAGTTACCGCTTGGGCAGCTGCCCAGTGCCTTCCGCAGCTCCGGGCATCCCGCGGGACCAACAGTATTCCCTCTTCCCGAGTTCCCCCCAGCTGCCCTGGGGGAGGGAGGCGGTGGTGGCGGCCCCGGGAGGGCAGCCCGGCTGTCGCTGGCCCGGGCTCCGGGCGCGGCGTCTCCTCTCCCTGCTGGGCTCCGAGCAGCGCCGTCTGTAAGTAGCAGCCGTGGTCTGTGCCCGGTGGGTGTGAAAGTCCGTGTGGCTGCTGGGTCAGGCAGCCTGGCAAGAGCAGTGCAGCTGCTGCTGAGAAGGCAAAGGGCAGCGAGGTTTGAAAGGAGCTTGTGGCTAGGTCCGGCCCGGGCTCTCCTCCCAGGCACCCGGCCGTGGGATAAGAGGACAAAGCCTCAAGATACACCGGGGGAGTGCAAGGTTGGACATCAGGTGAATTTTCTAAATAGGGTGATTAGGCAATGGAATGCACACTGCCAAGGGAGGTGCTGGAGTCACCATCCTGGAAGTGCTTAAGGAAAGACAGTACCACGGTGGAGTTGACGAGGGAATATTCAGTCGTAGGTTGGACATGATGATCTCGGAGGTCGTTTCCAACCTATGTGATTCTGTTATCAAGGTATTCCTTTATTATTTTCTCCAGTAAGTCGTGTTATGCCTCTTATAGGACGCTGTATTCACCTTGTGGGCCTCGGGAGCTTTCAGTGCATGTGCTTTTGACAACGTGCATATCTTTATTTAACTATACCATCATGTATCTAGTAGCCTAGATTCACACTGGTGTTCACACTAGTATTTAGGTTATTGTAGTCAAAACACTTGATAATGATTGTTCAGGAAGAGGGTCCTCAGGCAGCAACCCTCCAGAGCTTCTCAAAGTATTTTTCTTGGTTGGAAAAAAAAAAAGTTCATGTAATACTGAGAGGCATTGCTTGCTTAGTGGTCTAATCACAGGCTATGCTTAAGGAGGAAGTTTTTCACCGAAAGAGTGGTCAAATACTGGACTGATCTGCTTAGGGAGGTGGTGGAGTCACCATCCCTGGATGTGTTTAAAAAAAGACTGGATGTGGCACTTGGTGCCATGATCTAGTTGAGGTGCTAGAACATGGGTTGGACTCGATGATCTTAAAGGTCTCTTCCAACCTAGAAATTCTGTGATTCTGTAATGTGGTGGTTAGTTTTTCATAATGACATTTGATTTAATTGTTTTGATTCTTGCAGTTGATTCTTAAAGAGGCTCATCTCAAAGTACAGCTTAAAAAAGCTTTGCAAATAGTGGAAGAAAATGTCACATAAAAGCTCTAAGGTAATCAAGAAAGTAAACATTTCCAGCTCCTTGGAATCTGAGGATATCAGCTTGGAAACCACAGTGCCAACCGATGATGTTTCTTCCTCTGAAGAGAGAGAAGGTACTGTAAAAATCACTAAGCAGCTGATTGAACGGAAGGAGTTACTCCATAACCTTCAACTGCTTAAAATAGAATTATCACAAAAAAACTTGATGATTGACAACTTGAAAGTTGAATATTTGACCAAGGTAAGTAGTCTTTCTCCTTCCATTATACAATCTTTTTGTGATTTTGGTGCTTTTAGAGTATAATAGAAACTTCTGTTCTAGAAAGAATTGATTTGAATTATATGAAGGAGATCTATTTAGTTGATTTGGGGATTTTCTTAGTGTGTTTTGTGTTCTTTCATGAGAACAAGGGAAACAAAGGTATAGAAAGCTTCACTGACTTCAAGTGATTTTACTTATAAATAAGTAAGGGAAGATCTAATTAGTTTTACCTTTCCTGAACACATTTTTTTCAGAAATGACAAATAATTTTGTTACTTATGTTAGTAGCATAACAGGACTTTGAACCCGAACTTGTGGAGTACGAGAAAAGGTGATCTAAATACTCGTCAATGCTTTGTTAATGAAGGTAGAGATAGAGTATACCAACATGCTAAGAGTAAATTTTGTTGTGTACAGCTTGCACGAAGATGCGTGAAATTAAGAAAGGTGTTAGAACATTGCCACATATGTGTGCAGTTAATTTTTATAAGTCTGTATCATATTCTGAAGCCCTGGTGTATTTAGAGGTCTTGTTAGACAGCCATTATTGCACTGCCCACAGCATTGGGATCTTCATATTTTTATTTCAACTTCTTCTTTTTATAAAATATTTTTTAAAAATTAATATGGTAACTTATTTGTTTTATACTCACATTCTTTATATTTAGATTGAGGAGCTGGAGGAGAAGCTTAATGATGCAATCCATCAAAAGCAGCTGTTGTCTTTACGACTGGATAGTCAGTTGGCATTACAGCAAGAAGATGCCAGGTATGGTGGAAGGAAAATTAAGAACTTCATCTTTAACAAATTTGTGAATTAACTTGACTTTTTGTAAATAAGTTAGAAACAGATAATTATTCGTTGCAGGAAAAAAAAGCTTTCTTTTGCAGATTATATTAGTGTTTTAATTCTAAAATTTGAACTTATATATTTAATTTGCATATGAGTAAATTAGAATTCAGTTCTCACTAGCTGAAGTTTGTGGGCTTGGTTTTATGTTACCTAAATTCAAAATTTAGTAGGAAGAGGAAATAAAAGTGTTCTTAAAACAAATAAAGAGCAAAAGGACTAGGCAGAAGTGACAGACTTTCCATCAGTTTAAACAGAATTTTTAATAAATGCAGCATAGAAGACTTGGGAAAGGTAAGTACGTAATGTTTAGCTTTTCCCATTAGTACTTCCTATTTTCAGAAATGCTTTTGGCTGATGATGTAGAAACTCACTTTCCATATTGTTTCTATGAAATATTTGGAGTCAACTTGAAAAATAGACTGGCTAGCAGGCTTCTCCAGACCACTTTGTCAGTTACGTATGAAGTGTGAGTTTCCACACCTGTGAAGGAACAGCATTATTACATAGTCTCATGTTAAAGCACAGCTTACAGGATGTTACTACTTCCGAGTCCTGTTCTGTAATAACGCTAGAACAGATTTAGGGATCCGGAGCAAGACCAGTGATTAGTTCCAGCAAAGTCTTTCCGTTGGGAGCAGCTTATGGTCAGAAAAACATTTGTCACTCTGTATGTTTAGATGCACCAGAGTGGAATATTTTTATGCTGGCCATACTTAAGTTATCTAAGGAATACTTAGTAAAAAGGTACTGACGTGCAAACTAATAGGCGTAAAAAAGTAAAACTACTCTTCCCAATCTTTTCATTAGTTTTCTTGTCAGTCTTTTACTTAACTTTTCATCCTCATGTAATAGAATTGTACACAGTATGGAGTGTGTCCTTCTGTGATTGCTTTGATGACCTTAGTTGTTGTGGTGTGTTTTTTATACTTTAGCTTGGTTAAGTTGTAAATTGGTTTGTTCTATGTACCCCTTTATTTGTAATGGTTCTGCCCTGGTTCTCCCTCTCTGAGTATGGAGTGTGTCCTTCTTTGACACACTCCATACTCTGTGTAATCCAAAGTGTGATTGCTTTGATGACCTTAGTTGTTGTGGTGTGTTTTTTGTACTTCAGCTCGGTTAAGTTGTAAATTGGTTTGTTCCGTGTGACCCTTTATTTAAAATGGTTCTGCCCTGGTTCTCCCTCTCTTTGCTGGCCCGTCAATCCAGTTTTCCCCTCCCCGTTACCATTGGCAGCCCATGTATCAGTTCCTTAGTCCCTCCCTTATGCCCTGTCCATCACTCGATGGCCCGTCCCTTCCATCTAGAATCTTCCAGTCAGGGCATCAAGTGATTGGCAGGGCCCCTCCCCAGCCTTTTCCCTATTGGTTGTCCCACTGTGTCCATCACTCTCTCCTTACTCCCACCTTCCTGTGGATTGGCTGAAGACCAGACTCCACCCCCATCTCCTCCCCTCTTTAAAAGTTAGTGTCAGAGCCCAATTTGGGCTCCTCAGTTGTCAGTTCCTGTGGAGCCGATAAGTCTGGATTGCACTGCAGCTGGAGTATGTCTCCTTCCCTCCTGTTGGGTAGCAGCTCTCTCATTGCGGATCCTCGTCCCTTAAGGCAAAAGCCTTAGGCACCCTCCAGACCAGAGCAGGGATCAGGAGAGTGCCCCTGTGCTGCTGGCTCAGCCCTCTCATTGCGGATCCTCGTCCCTTAAGGCAAAAGCCTTAGGCACCCTCCAGACCAGAGCAGGGATCAGGAGAGTGCCCCTGTGCTGCTGGCCACAGCTAGCAGGACCGTCCTGAGGGGGCACTTGCTTTCCCCCTTTGAGGCCGGCTGCCGCTGCATTTCATGATCCTATTACCCTGCCAGTAGGGTAGATGTAGCCTTATAGTACTAGTTAGTATTTTTTTATTGCCTTTAAGTAATGCAGAAATGACAGTGTTTTAAAGAGCGATTTGTATATGTTTTCAAGAGTTGCAACTAAAAAAAGTAGGTTAGTTGTCTTTGATTTAAAGAAAACAAACACTTCTAAGCATCATGAACTGATAGGCAGTTTCTCTTGCTGTATGAAGCCTTACCACTGATGATAATAGTTTTGTGGTGTTTTAAGGCTGGAAGTAAGGCTGCTTATTTTATGGTAGTAGTGGTTGGTTTGTTGCTGTTCGTTGTTTTTAATAAAGGACTCCAACTTTGTATATTACAGTGGTTAGAAAATTAAGGGGTGGTATGACTATGTCTATACTGAAACTTGGTAAGACCCAAGTTCAAGTGATTTACCAGCTCCTTGGGGTTTGTGTGGAAATAGATTCTACTTTTTCATCTTTTTAACATTTTAATTGGTAAGTTAAGTTTAGTTTGTAAAATTAAGTCAGCATATGTGGAGATTGACAACACAAAGCTGAAACTGAGGATAGACAATGACTATAAAGTTCCTGGCTTTTTATATGTATCTGATATCATTGTTTAACCATGGTGGTGTACATTCTGGCTCTAATTACCTAACCTTTGTAAATTCTTTCTCTCTACAAAATGAGCAGAATTGACTACTTTGCCAGGGTATTGTGAAGCTTTGTCACTTGTATTACTCACAACCTGATTACTTCTGTTTTCAAATCCATCTTGAAGGAAACATCAGGCTTTAATGAAGCAAGAAATGGAAACTATTTTATTGAGACAGAAGCAACTGGAGGAGACAAATTATCAGTTGAGAGAGAGGGCAGGAGATATCCGTCGTAGCTTGCGAGACTTGGAATTAACAGATGAACGCTATGAGAAGCTAAAATCTCTTCCTGAAGATCAGCTTTCAATCCCTGAATATGTTTCAGTAAGTATTGGGTTTTGTATTGCTTTAAAATATAACCTGTATCTTGTCTGCCAGGGACAGAGTTGACTTTATTAGCAGTCTGAATCTTGCTGTGCTTCACACTGGGGGCTGAAACAGTGTTTCGGCTATTACTGGACACTGCTTGTACAACATCAAGGCTTTCCTTTTTCCCCCTTCTGCCTCCTCCTGCCCCAGCAAGCTATGAATGGTCAGGAGATTGATAGGGGACACAGCTGGACAGCTGACCCAAATTGGCCAAGATAATACTCCATACCATAAAATGTCATACTCAGCAGCATAAATAGGAAGTAGAGGAAGAAGGAGGAGGTGGGGGGTGATGGCTTCCCAAGGTGGTTATTACTCAGGGGCTGGCTGGGTATCAGTTTTGATTGGTTTCTGCAGTTTCTGGGAAATGATGAGTTCTTTTTTTTTTTTCTTTTTAAGCTCAGCTCTCTTTCCTTCAATAATTGTTTAGAAAAGTTGACACCTGAGTTTTCTTGCTTTTGTTTCCTTCTTCTCACTTTCTCCTTTCTCCTGCTCCCAGCAAGTGGGTGAGCAGCCATATAGGCTGCTGGGCAGGCTCAACCCATCCCAAGCTGTAAATTGTGGTGGGTTGTGGTTTTTTTAATCTCTGACTAGAAATAAAGGACCTTCAGAGGCAGATGTGTTTCTGCATCTGTCTGTTATGACTGGGTTCCAGTAAAGAGAGGAACCTTTTAATCCCTGATTCTGATGTCTCAAAAGAGAGTAGAACTGCTGACGTATTTTAAGGAGGTTAAGCAGATGGGATGTTACAGTTAAAATGTGAGCACACATTGATTATATGAAATACAGTAGGCTGAAAAAAGGAATTTGAAAGTTGGTTTGCCAGAACCACAAGCAAACATCCTTTACTTTTCTCTTGTGCTTTCCATATGTCCCTTTCCTGTTTGACTAAATGCAGGAGACAAAGTGTACCTTAAAGTGCACTTTAAGATTCTTTTTCTTGATTTAAGATGTTTGTTAATTATGGCTTGTGGGTATGTGGAGAGGCCACCATGTACTCTTGTTTTTGATAAAAAGCCCATGGGACATGTCCAGAGCATCCCAGCTGACTTATGAGAACGAAGAAGATTTACACATGTAAACCTTAATTCATCAAAATATTAGCATTGTACTGATCTGTAGAGCTTGTTATTAAGGAAGCTGTAAATAATACAGTATTAAAAACCTTAGTACATTTGTTGAGGTGTAAATGCTACATGAAAGAATTCTCTAGATCAAAGTCATGCTTTACTGTGCTCTAGATATGTACAGAGAATTAAAAATTTTCACCCTTATCTAAAGGATGTTCTTGTGAGCCTCTTTTAAAAAGCTGGGCTTTTGAAAGTGCTAGGAAAAACATAAGGCTCTGTGGGATAAATAAGAACATATACCTTGGGTAGTGTTAGGTTATCACTACCTAGCTGTCTGCTGTACCCACTGCCCTCTGCAAAAGTAATTGACGGGGTTTTGTTGATTCCTGTATCACCATGGTCAAAAAAACCAGACTTGTAACAGAAACTGAAATCCGTGTCAGTGGATCTATTGAAATTGGTGTGCAGGAAGTTCAGGACTTCAGGAGTTGACTGACATTCAGTACAAAAGACTCCGTAGCCAGGCAGGATAGATACCAGGAGTTAGTAACCTTGTCAGCTGCTTTAAGTGAAGCTGTCACAGCACAATTTAGATTTAATTTGTGAGTAGAAAGTGGCTGTCAGAAAGATGTGAAGTAGGAGAGATGAATAGCAGCCACCTTCTACCTTTAACCTTTTGTTCTTTTACTCTTCTGTTCAACCAGTTAATGTTATTTTTATCTGTGACAAAAACTCCTACTTAAATGTTAGGTGAAACTCCTCTCCACACATTACTTTTTCTTTTGAAGAAGTAATTTTTAAGCCTTTTCTATTTCTGGATAAGGCATTCTGAAGATGTATTGTAGTAAAGTGCTATTTTCTACTTTTTTCAACTTCTTTTAGCAGACGATTAGTGTGAACCTAAAAGTATCAGTAAAGCTTGATGGTTGTTTATCATTCAAGTTATGCAGCTGCTATGGATGCTGGGCTGTTTTGCACATCCTGTCTGTGCATCCCTTTGGCTCCCAAAGGCTGGGGAGAGGAGTTGGAAGGGAATGCTGTTTCCTGCTTTGCTTGCCTAAAGAGAAGTTGGGCATTTCTAGGCAGTTAAAATTTCTGACTCCAGATCTGTGTGCAGAATAATAATGTAGCCCACTGACGTTAGGGTAAAATTTTCCTTGTTGAGAAAGGGTCCTGCTTAGGCAACTCGAGCAGGAAATGTTCAGATTTTTTTCTATTTATTAGTTATAAAATACTGCCTTGCAATTCTCCAGGATGGAAGTAAACATGTATATAATGCTTAGACTTTATTTGACACCAGGTCTACTGAACAAACAGCAGGAAGAACTTAAATGCAGATTTTGTATATAGAGATACTGTAAATTTGAAACACTGGAATTAAAGCAAATGTGAGATGTTTTTCACTGTTCTTCCACAAAGGGGTGCAATAGTGACATGTTAGAACAAAGCCTAGGTAATGTTTAATGCTAATGATGACAACTGAAAAATTGTATTTTGCACATCTTTCTCTTAAAAATCATAGCTTTTTTTGTTTTGACCTTATGTGTAAAAATTCAGATTTTTGTTCTGCTATTCCTAAGATGTTTTCAGAAACAGTATATACGAAATTTGAAAGTACTTCAGGCTGTTAAATAGTTCAGCTGCAAAGCATCAGTTCAGTTTGTTCAGTAAAGTGAACCTCTTGTGTAGTCCACTGTAAAATATTTTCAGCAAATTTTTAAAGAATTATTTCTGCAAGTTCTGTTTGAACTGATATTAATTGCCATGTCTTTCAGGTGTGGAAGTTTGCTAACTGCAGCTCAGTTGCTGTTTGTTTAAGAAGGCAGTTAAGTGATGCAACTGCTTTCACAGAACTTCAATTAACAGAAGCCAACTTTTTCAATCTCCCATTTTTATGCACCCATTTTTACTTTATTCTAGTTTTCCATAAAAAATGGTGGGCACAGGCTAAGAGTTTTTTAAAATTGCCTAGAAAATGGTAACTGATTACAGCACACCAGTATAAATTTGTGATTTTTAAGATATGCAGTTGTTTTTAAAATCACTTATAGAGTAAATTTAGTTTCTGCTGTATTGAATTGGCAAGAGGCAGTGTGTGCTTTGACTGCTGGGTTACATTAATGTTTTTTGGCTATCAAACCAACTAAATAACCACAACAGTTGAACTGATGTAACCTCAGCCTCATCTGCTGCATTCATTTGCATTTGCTTATTACCATGTAATGATCTTTTCTTGGGAAGGCTGTGTAAATACATTTATCCTTGATACCTGTATCCCATGTAATCTTGGTTTCTACTGAGAAATATGTTTTAAGGTTGTTGTATTTTGGGAAATAATTGTGGTATGGTAGCACAAGTTTCCTAGGGATATTGCAGTAAAAATAGAAGAACTTACTGGAAAAGCAGGTGTGGTTTAAAAAAAAACCACAATGCTTTAAATGGTTATCAGTTAGGGATAATCAAGGTTACTTTTTTCTTAAGAAATGACCAAGTGAATCATCAGATGTTACAGTTAAATATACTAATTTTTCAGTCATATTGGACGCTTGCCTTATTGTATAAAGCATACTACACCTGTGTTTACATTGCAAATTTCTATGGCTTCTGTGTTTTTAGAATTGTATGCTGTCAATTATATGAAATATACCTGGAACTTTTCTTTGTCTTCTGCTGTTTACAGGTAGCGAAACAGAGATCTGTCTTCCTTCTGCATGGAAGTGCAGTACAGCTTGCTCTTGAATGCTTACTTAATCTGTGCTTTCTTGTCTATATTTCTTCTTTAATCATATATCAAAGAGGGCATTAGGGGTGGAGGGCATGCAATAGCTTTTGCATGAAAACGGTGCCTACTTTTTTATTCTTTTTACACACACCCCCAAATGCAACATTTTAAGGTATCAAGTTAATCTGGGAATAATAACCTCTGTGTATGTGTATGTGGGTGTATATCAAAAAAGCTCTTTCTTCTTTGTTTTGCCTCTTTTTGTTTTTTAATACTGGCTTTGTGGTTTTACTACTGTATTTTCTAGTCTTTCTTCCTGATCAGAAGAGAAGTTCTGAAAAAGTTTTATGGATGTGAGACTTGCCTGAGACAGTGCCTATGACTGGCGTGGGGAAAGAGAAAGGAGTATGCGTTACAGACTTTAAAATTTTTTAAATCTTGTTAGAAGGTTGGATTTTTTAGTGTTAATTTAGCAGCATCAAGTCTTTCAGAGCCTTAGTTTCCTGATGCAGTTGAATCCCTATACCAGCATGTTACTGCTGGAGGTGTATGTGGAAGGGGTGTCAGGTTGTTCCTGGTTATGTGCTGTTCCTGCTCCCTCTTCTTGCTCTTGCATTTTTCTTGGTGCAAACTCAGCACACTGAGCTGGCAGAAAACAAAACAAACCGGATCTCTCAATTTCTACACACCCCATAAAAATTTATATTGTCTTGGGGGAAGTTAGCAAGTTAAGTTGGTTATTACTAAACATTGGTTATTGGTTTTGTTTGGGGTTTTGCTTGGTTTTGTTGGTTTTTTTCTCTTTTTGCACTGTTAATCAAATAGGCTCTAAGTTTGGCACAAGGAGATGCATGGGACCATGTGTCCATTAGCAACTGTATTTTTTTGATCAATCAGCCTGAGTGTAAGCTGCCTTAGTTGTACAACAATATAATCTTTACTTTTTTGGCATGTCTTAGAAATATTTAGTAATAAAATTTAGTAAATTATTGTCACAAAATGCTGAGCTAATGTGTTTTTAGGTTTGTAGTTTTACAGTTGCAATTTTGCTAGTTTCTACTTTGAATATCTGTCTTGTACTTCTAGGTCCGATTCTATGAAGTAGTCAGTTCCTTAAGAAGAGAGCTAAGTGATCTACAGACGAAAAGGGAGAGTCTGACAGAAGAACTAAGTGGGTACAAATCCCAACTCAAGTGTCTGACAGAGGTCTGTACTCTTTAGTTATCTCAGTTCAGAAACTGCGAATATTGTGAAGATCTCATTCTCCGAATCATTCTTTGTGTATAAGATAGAAAAGCTTTTTTGGTGTATAAAAATTACTGCAAGGAGAAGAGGGCAGGGAGGGAAAGAGGAAATAAGTTATATGTGTCCTTGTATAACAGCTAACTTGATCCTATGGCTACCCTGCAAGATTTGCTCATAAGTATTCAGGGTTGTCTCTTACCAGCTGTGTTGTCCTTTCTGAGGGCAAGATTTCGAGGTGGGCGTGCTGGACTGGGGATCTGCCCAGCAGCAGCTGAAGACACCATAATGGTTCAGTGTAGAGTCTGTGAGATGGGGATGTCTTGGTGGTAGATTGTATTTTTTAAAGTTCTTTGGAGTTGCATCTTCTCTGTTACGCTTTTTCAATTCTTTGTATTTTAATTTTCGTATTTGTTTCTATACCAAAGAACAAGATCATTTAATTTCATGTAAGATATAAACACCAGAAGTAGAGAAACGAATTATATAAATATTTTCAATTTTTATTTTTAAAGAGCTATGGAATTGAAACAGTATAAGGACTATGGTTTTTCTAATGTATTTATCAATATTTATATTATTCTTGGTGTGTATATTGCTAGGGTGATTTGTATTTTAACTTAGTTCTGCATGAGTCTGGAGTTGGGACAAGAGTTTCCGGTACTCAAAGTATATTTATCCAGGTGATGGCTAGTGGAGACTTAAATTACACTGTCATTTTACTACTTCTGAAAATACATTTTAGTTACTGCCTTTTTTTCCCTGTGAAATTTCCTTATGGAATAATCAGATGTAAGGGGAAATTCTTTATGTAAGTTTAACTTGTGAAATTCATGTACTTTCATTTCTCATTCTGATTGAATTAGAGAAAGTAGTCAATAAAATTTATGCATTTATGTGCTTCAGCATTATTCTGGGTCACCATTTCTGGTCATAATTGAGATTAAACTAATCCTGTTAATTTTTGTCTTGCATAAGCGTTTCCCTTCACTGTACATTTAATGTGCTTTGATTTAATGAAATTGTACAGGAGGATTTCAGCCTTTGAGATTTGACTAACATCTATTACTTCTACTGAACCAAATTAACAAGACAGTCGATAACAATAATTAAAGTTGTGCTAGAAACATTTTTCTTGGGACATTGATCTTTCTTTGATATACACTTCTGATTTTGTTCTTTATGCACCACTTGGTGGCAGTATTCACCTTTCCCAGTGATGCATTTCTCGAAGTTCTAAGTGCGCTGTGCTTTGCTTTTCTTTTATGGAGACGCTTGAGAGTCTGTTCTGATTCTGGCAAGTTCAGGTTTTACTTTGTGACTTGATGAGTGTCACTGCAACAAGGTACCTCAGAAAGTAAGGTAAAAGGAGTGTAAGGGTACTTTAGAATCTGTAACGTGGTTGCTGCACAGGAGCTGACATACCTATAAATCTCTTGCAGTTTATGAAAAAGTGATTTCAAGTGTACTGCTGGGGTTAACCTTTTTGACCTCTTCACTAAGGTCAAGGTTTTTTGCAAGGAAATTTATCAGCAGGAAATAACATTTTGTTCAGAGTCTTACCTAAGGTCTTACACTCTTACTGGACTTTTTTTTTGTATTCCAGTGGTTCTTGTTTTTCCAGGTACATGAAATACAGTTGTTGAATGTTTTTGCCTGTTATTTAATAATTTATACTCTGCAAATCCTTTTTCTGGGTTTCTATACAGTATGCCAGAAATTCTAAGTTTTCTATAACCATTGGAATATTTCTGTTCTTCGTGTAATTTATCGACAAAGTCTGTTCCGAGTTTAAAACTTCTTTAGAAAACTAGTAGTACAGAAGTTTGAAATACAGTCATCACTGAAGATACAACTATCAGGTTTTGGTTTTTTGTTTGTTTTGGTTTTTTTTGGTGAGAATAACCTACTTCCTCCAGTAAGAATTCCTTCTTTTTTCTACTCTTTCAAGATAATTAACGGTCATCTTAATGAGTTTCAACACAGGTTTCTTCCTTCTTTTTGGGACATGGGAACAAAAAATATGCTTAGGCCAAAACTTGGGGGAAGAGGGTTATGTTGGCTTTTCTGGTTGTTCGTGGCTGACAGACTAGGTTTGAGCAGGTTTTATACACCTGTACATGTTCACCCTGAAATAAAGAAATAAGAAATAGTGACAGGTTCTAGACTCATAGGAAAGATTATCTAGCCAACCAAGAATTTAAAAAGTTGGAAGGAAAATTTGAACTTAATAGGTTAAGTCAACTTAGGAAAATTTAAGTGTGGAATGAATTCATCATATAAGACAACCATGCTGACTCTATAATTTTGTAAATGTCGCTTGGTGTGCTGCTGCTCTTAGCCCTTAAAGGCTGTTGAATCTGTAACACAGACCCAGTAGGGTAGGGAGCTGTTTCTGACAGCTGGTAGCAGAAAATGGCTTGTGACTGCTGATTCCTAGCACTGGAACGTGGTCTGCTAAAGGATGTTTGTTATTCTGCTTTCTGTTTGTAGAGTGATCAATGTAAGTGGTTGTGATGTGTAACTAAATTAGTGGCTCTCTGCACACAATTGTTGCATCTGTGATTTAGATCAGTGCAGTTCCTCTGGTTCCAGGTACAGCAGCCACAGCCTGGGGGAAGGCAGTGGAGCTGGTGAAAGTCATGTACTGCTGACTGACTTGTTACTAAATGTAGGGCACAGGCTTGTTTCAGTCCTCCTTTCACAGTCCTGCTCAGTACATCAAGTATAAATAATATTGGCACCACCAGCCTTGGAGGTAAAGATAGAGGAGGAAGTCCAACTATAGTGGTGTATTAGCAGGAGCTTCCCAGAAATAAAACCAGCTTCTGATGTGTGCATTCCCATGCTGAACATCAGTTTACTATTTTCAGAGTTGTTTGTTTCTAAAGTGGTTAGAACCTTCCCTCAAGCAGATGTAATTTACTACTAGTGGGTTTCTCTCAAGGCTGGGAGAGTGTCTGGGAAGGAAATCTTGCTTTCCTTTGTACCTCCAGAAGATTAAGTATTGCTTTCTTCTTCTGGCTGGGAGTTTCTTGGCAATGTTTTCCTGGAATTTGGTATTGATACAGTTTTATCAGGGCTCCCTTTTCTTAAGTTATTTTTTATATAAAGTTGCCTTTGGGATTTGCAATAAAATTTATAGCATAAGAATATCTGAAAGCTGTGGTTATCCTAAAGACAAAGCTGGTTATATGTAGGACAAAGATCTTTTCTAAGACTTCATCTCTGAATCAGGATTAGTAGCTGTCAGGTTTTGCTAGACATAGCTAACAGTTTTCTCTGTGATAATGTTTTCCAGCTGGAGGGAAAACATATCTAAAGTCTTCAAAGGATAAACTAAGCTTTTGTACTCAAAGGATCACTTGGCACTAGATGTGTCTGAATATTAGAAAACGGAGGCTGTTGTTGCTACTCCAAAAGGCCTGGAATCCCTAAGGTTTCTTCTAAAGTTTGCATATCTGTAAAGACTGCGCTCTAGAACTCTTCCCCAGCCCCCTGACACCACTTCTTTCAAGCAGTGTTTGGTCGTTTGGTCTTCACAGCTCTCTTGAAACAGATGAGGTCTTGGTCTTAGGTGAAATATATGCCTCTTTTTTTTTTTTTTTTTTTGCTATTGTTAATAGTGTTCAGGAGAACAGCTGCAAAGACAATACCAGTAACTGTGAGCTTGAGGCAGCAGTTTAATATTTCCAAGACTTAAGGAAATTTCCTATCTGTGAAAGTTCCCTTTTCTATCCAGTACCTTTCTACTCTTTTGATACATGGCTATGGCTTGCATTGACTGCTAGCTGTGGATCAGAAGTATACGAGATGCTTTAATTATACTGCTCTGTAATGATCTCAAGGATCCTTTTCACCTGAGAATATTTCACTGAAAATTCTAGTAAGCTCAGATCCAGAGAAATAACCTTTTTATTCCTCCACTTTCTTTTGCTAGAGAACTTACTCCAAAGCTTTTCTTTTATATGCTCCTTGCAGAGTTTCTCTATTTTGGAGTAGCTCAACATTTTTGTTTATAATTTTTAGTGGTAAATAGTGACCTGTCTACCATCAGATTACCAATTTCCCATCTGCAAGTGGAGTACCAATTTCATGGCAAGTTGCTAAAGAGATGTCTTATTTATCCAATTATGTATAGCTTCTTCATGATGTTTGGGCAGTTGTATTCCAATAAATAGTGTATTGACCAGTAATTTTTTGAATGCAGAATATATAAACAATTGAAGCAAAATGTCGTCTTTACAAAGAAGCAGCACCTCATCCAAATAACTGGAGGGAATTGTGTTCACATCACAATAGTACAGTAGCTTTACATTTGTCTAGAGCCTTTAGGATATGAACAAAGTGCTGGCTTTTGTAAGTGATTCTTCAAAGATGCAGACCTTTGAGAAAAAAAAAGCTTTTTAAAAGCAGGATCACTTTCTTTTACAGGCTTATCTGTAGATGGTGTAAAGAAGTTGTGCTGTTTCTGCTTGATTGACTGATCAATCTATTCCCTGCATTTCTATTTATCTTCTTATCTCCAAAGGCTTTTTGAAACATCAGTTAATCCCTATCATGTATAATGTGTCAGTTCAAAAAGTATGTCACCTGGATTTTGCATTTGAAATTCAGATAGGTGTTTATTTCAGTGACTGCTGTAAACTGCTGCTCATTGCAGACTGAAGAAACCACTGAAGATTAATATCATTAAACTGAGGTTTGCCATTAGATCTTTAGTTTCTCTATCAGTGTGGGGTTCTAAGTGGTGCAGATCAGGCAAGCTGAGAATCTCCTTGCTTGAAACATCATTTGTGGACAGTGTTTGTAAACCAAATGAAAGCACTTCTTAGCTGACTCATGCCCTGTAGAAACCACTACCACTGGGTTTCTTAGGCAGCTCTCTCAAGAATTTCTTCAGGCAGTGGTTGCCTATCTGTCTCACATAGGACAAGTTCGGTTTTTCATTTGTTTTTACTATCTCATCAGTCTGAGTTTCTGCTCTCTGCAGAAGCAAAAATTATTAAGAGGCTGAAGAAAAGCCATGCGGTGTTTGGGGTATTACAGCCATCTCATTCAGTGTAAGCAAATTCTGTTTGTCCTTTATTTATTTTAAGGTTTGTGGGCTTACTTAAGCTAATATTATTTCCAGAACCTCCTTTCTGTCCTTGAAAGAGCTGTTGCTTGATTCTTCTAAAAGCCCCTTTTTTGCTGCAGCAGGACAAAGCTGTTCATCAAGATGTTTAAGCTATCTTTTGAAGATCAATGGGAAGATAAAGCTGTTCCATTGCAGAGATCTTAAAATCAGTGCAGTGTATATGGACATTGTTAGAAACAAAATTAATTTTATCACATGCAGAGCAAGACGGCTTCTGCCTAGGCACAGGCAGCTTGATTGTATGACTTCAAGATGTATTGCTGTGGAAGTGCAGAAGCTTGTGTGTCTGCTGCCTGGAGATGTGCATTCCACGTAGGGGGTTTTGTGTGTTACCCAGTCTAGGCTGTAAACAGGCTATCTGCTTGCTTTGTCATGTTTCTTCACGTGTTTGAAATTCTACTTGGACACCTTAAGATTATGTAGATGAAAAGCAGTGTCTTGTGCAGTATAATTAGTGTTTCTTCAGGAATTATATTAAATCTTAAAAAAAACAAACATGACAAACCCTCTACTTAAGGTAGGTCTTAGTATCTTAGTATCATTTTCTCAAAGCAGAATTTAACTCTCCTTCCCTGGAATTGCCATATTGTTGCATGACATTAATAACTGATTTATTAAATACAATTGAAAAGTAAGTTTAGGTCTCAAGTATTAGAAGGAACTGTTTTTGCAGATATTTAGATACTCTGTTAATTGTTGCTTTAAAGCTGTCTATGACAACTTTTTTCCAGAGGTTAACCAATTTAATTTTATACTTTTGGTAGTTGTCTTCTAGCTCTCAGCTAGACAATACTGTAGGACCTTCAGTAGCCCACTCAGTGAAGGGTGTGTGAATGGCAGAATGGCATGGAATATGCACAGAAGAATTGTATTCTAAACTTAATCTTTCAATTTGCACTTAAAAGTTAAGTGCTCTTACCAGCATTTCCTGTTGCAAGATGAGTCACGTTTGCCCTGAATAACAGGGTACTTGCACCATTATGGGTGCATATTTGAAACTTTAGCTAACTTGTGCACACCTTTTAAAAATATCTGACAGAGACTACCATTATAATAATGCCATTTTTATAAATAATGACATTTAAACTGATAAAAGAAGAGAGTGTTTCATAGTGTCAGTTTGCTTAATGTATATCCATTAATTAGGCATAAATAATGACATTTAAACTGATAAGAGAGTGTTTCATAGTGTCAGTTTGCTTAATGTATATCCATTAATTAGGGTAAACATAAACCATATATACCAGTATGTGTTAGAATGAATAACAATCGTATGTTTACATGATGTATTTTTAATGGTAGACCATTCAGAATCCTCATTAAAACTTTCTGCATGTTGTGATTTTTGTGCTTTGTGACCTGAAGTGTTTTTAGTAAAAGTGAAGATAAGTAGGTATGTGAAATATAAAACAAAATATTCTTTTTTTTTAATCAACAGAATAGGTAAAATATGGCTAGTAGATTAGGAAGCTTTTCTGTAGTGTCTTACAAATATTTAGGTGGGTTTTTTTCAAGAAGGCATTTTGTCAGTGTTTCAGCTGATGGAGTCTGTGGAGTTCATCAGTGTCCTTCTGTCATACACTCCATATATGCTGTTGCCCTAAACTATCCTTGTCTATTGAAAACTAGCTATGCAGTTATCCTCCTATAACTGTATAAAGCATAGCTTTCAGCAATATTGAAAAACTATGCACAGATACAGTGTCTTTTACTGCAAAATAAATGTAATTTACAGTTGCTAAATGCTTGATTTAGTAATGACATCTTAAGGGTGTGCTCACCATTCAGTTATTAATATTATGATATCCATTCATAATAACCAGATAGCGTAATTGTTAATCAAGCATCCGTTACTGAACTTGCTGTCAGTCATAGTAGTAAAAAACTGAATTCAGCGTATTCTGGAAAGTAGGATATGGAAGAAATCTAAATGCCCACAAGTATTCTCAAATTTTTAACAAGCAACTTTTTTTTTGTAGTCCATCAGCTTTACCTTGTATAAGTGAATGAGCATTATTATTTTGGTCATTCTTGTGAATAAATTGCTAAGTGGTATTTAGGACAGTAAGTAAAGGACAGTAAGATAAGTTTGTGAAAAAAGTTCCTATGTAGTAGAAAACTGAAAAATGGAGTCTAGATTGGGGATTAAGGTATAAAATTCTTTTGGAGAGTTGGAGGGAATGAGTGTGATTAGGAAATCTGTTGATCTTCAGAAGGAATACCTAGTATTTTAAAAGATGAATACTCTCTTGCTTTATGTGTGGTTTTTTGCTTTGCTTTTGTTGTTTTGATTTCCAGAATAATCCGTAAAAGTGTGTGAGGAGGAAAAGAAGGGAAAATAGAAATTAATGTGGATGGACCATTAAGTAAACTCTTTTAGTTTATTTTATTTTTTCTTCCACCAGAGCTTTCCATGATATGCTTCAGCCAACCAGTTACAATAGCTACAATTTGGGAGTAACTGGCTAAAATCTTCCCGATAATAACAGATGTTGCTAAACTTGCTGAACAAACCATTCTCTTTCTTTTTCTTTTTTTTCCCAAATTAACTAGCAAGTATCTTCACAAGTCTCTTGACTTATTTGAAACTGTTGTAAAGGGGGTGTGACTTCCGTGCTCCTAGTATAGGTTTGCAGACCAGCAGCTGTTTATATGAGGGTTACTGGTCTTGGAAGTTGTGCTAATGGACAAATGCATTGGAAAAGGTACATTTAATCAAGTATTTGTAAATTTGTAATAAAATAAAAATAAGTTGAGTATTAACTTATTTAACCTGGTTACTTTGTGATGTACTAAATTTCCAAGTACTGAGACAAATGAAAGCATTACCACCCGAATATTCATAAGAGGTTTTCATGAAACTTGGTTGGTGATTACTTCAAGTAAATATCAGTGCAGCTGTGATCATTTCAAGATGTGTCCCTTCCTAGAGCTATGAAGACGAGAGGAGGAGTCGGTCAGAGCTTGAGGTCAGATGCCAGCGTTTAACACTGGAACTGGCTGATACCAAGCAGTTGATTCAGCAAGGTGATTACAGACAACAGAACTATGATAAAGTAAAATGGTAAGTATCTCTATAATTTAAGTGTTAAAATGTTAATAAAGATCAGCCTTGATTGATCAGACTTCTTGGTTTTGTTTTTGACTTACACACACATTTTTTTTCCTTACCTCATACACTAATGGTTCAATTGCCTCCTTTAGTATATTGCAGACCTAAAATGAACAACATTCTGAAAACCAGTGCATCAAATTATCTTCCTAAAAGTTTATATTTTCAGATTTACTGTGTTTTCAAGAGAGTCTAGCAGTCTCAATGCAGCTAAGGAAGTGGGGGCTGTTGATGGCTAGCATTTTGGAACAAGTACTCTTTTTTATTCATAGTTTAAAAGCAATAATCTAACAAAAGGCTCTATGCTCTACTCTGTGCTGCTTACTGAGTGAGTTAGGAGGGCAGGACCTTGGGAATTAATATTTACAACTTAAGATATCTTTGAAACCATAAATTTGAAAGGGCTGTTTTGAGAACTCTGGCAGATAATCTTAGGATTACCTTAGTGAATTTAACTGCAGGAAGTTCCAGTGTCTAGCTTTTTTAAAATACAGATTGTACTGTTACAGCCAATGTTTTGAATATCTGTCTTGCAAAAAGCAATTGCAAAAGAGTGAAAATGGACTTCTTGTAAATATACTCATAGATGTATACCTCACAGTCCAGCTTCCAAATAGCTTTTTCAGTGTGCTCGCAAGTACAAGAAATCTGGTCTTTGTGGCACATTTGTGGAGAAATGTATTGAAAAATGGGGATTATGATAGAAAAGACCCTGTCAGCTCCTTAGTTGTACATATGGAATGAACTCAGGTGTAGTTACTGACACTTTGGCCACTAAGTCATTTGAAGAGGAATCTGTCTTCTGGTTTCACAGCATTTTTGATTCACAGCTATATGTACAAAAACAGCCCTGGAATCTTTCTGGCATCTTGTTGCAAATAGGGTGGATTGGTGCTGTGATTTGCTTCCTATATGCAACTGCATCTTAAGTGGATTGTAATAACTTTCATGTGAATGGCCCTAGTGTTTAACAGTGTGCATTTAAAATAGTCTTGAGTTGAGAAAAGCATGAATGAACGTGCCAAAACTGTATTTGAGAGAGTGGGTTGTATTCAGCTGGGTAGGCACAGATGAAGAGGAGGGGAGAGCTCTGTTGGCTTAACTGCATGAGGATATTTGGGAGCACTGCAGGAGTAAATCACTTCCAGACTTGTTTCTGCCTTCAAAAAACACTATGTCAAATCTAGTTCTGCTGTACTACAAGTTATCTCCGTTTTAAAGTGATGCTATGCTTAGTATAATATTGGTTAACTTTTTTCTAAACTGCAAGCTCATAATGGCTCATTCATTTCACTGTTCTGACAGAGTGAGAGTGGAGACCTAGTGATGCTTCTTTGTGCATGGAGAAAGCACTTTTGCTCAGGACAGCAGCACTGTTTTTGCAGCTGTGTATATTTTAAACATGACAACCCACTCTGGTATCAAGGCTGTATGCAGGGGAGAGTACCTACTGAGAACAAGTATACAGTGCTTTCTGCTCTCTTAAGAAGATGGGAATGAAGTTGTTTCACTTTTCCATTGGAGTTCCTTGTCTGCAAAAGACTGAAGAGAATGTCACGGGAAATAGCATCAGAAGCTTGATAAAGCTAAAACAATGGATAGGGATACTTACAGATCATTGCTAAGAGAAGACATGTATAGCCCAAAGTTACACTAAAGAAGAATAATCAGAGGAGAATGAGATAATATAGGATGGGAGTTTGAGTATTGTCGAATTTTCTTTGTTTCTGAGTATTTAAATAATCCTCAGTTATTTCATGTAAAATGATACTGTCGCAGGTGTTAGTAACTATAAAATTTTAAGACTATCACCAGTTGTTCTGTGAGTGACTGATTGGAAGAAGTCAGTGTCGTGAACTGGCAGAAGGCTGAGAAATTAAAAAGGCACAGGAATTTTGTTCATTACACTTCACGCATCTAATAGTTTAACTTTGCTTTCCAGTGAACGTGATGTATTTGAGCATGAGTTGTCAGAACTCAGAAGAAACTATGAAATACTGGAGGTGTCATACAAAACACAAACTAAAGAAAGAAATGACTTAGCAAAAGAGGTAAACATAAATTTATTACCTTAGTAATTGTGTATTTATTAATCTCAAGAATTTGATGCTTTGTCTAATCAAGTTTGTTAGGATCATGGAATAATTTAATTCTAATGGTCTCAAGAGACCAACTGGTCCAACCCGCCCATGCAGTACAGAGCAAGATTAGGTCAGGTTGCTTAGGGCTTTGTCAAGTTTTTAATGTCTCCAGTGATGGAGATTCCACAGCCTTTTGGACAATCTGTTCCAGTGTTTGTCTGCTGTCTTGTGAAAATGCATTTGTAAAAACAAATCAGTTAGTACAGCTCTTTCCTGTTGCATCTTGTCCTGTCACTATGTATGGCCAAGGCTCTGGCTATTTTTATGTGTTCCACTTGGATAGCTGAAGATAATAATTTCCCCAACCAGACTTCTCTCCTGAAGGCTGAAAAAAGTTCAAAGTATTTCTCTTAATCCCTTGTACATCATATGCTGTAGTTCATGACCATCTTGGTAGAGCTCTTCTGGTCCTGTTTCAGTATGTTAATGCATGTCTTTAGGACATGCATGTCAGGGGATATTGCACTCCAAATATAGTCTCACAAGTGTGGAACACAGGATAATTTTCTTTAACCCACTGTCTGCATTGTTGCTAATGCAGCCTTGTAGCCACTTAGCCTTCTTTGCTGTCAGGGCACATTTCTGTCCCATGTTCAGTTAGTTCAATAGATATTTGCCTATCAGATCCATATTTTTCCAGCTTTTCCATAGAGCAGTTACAGGAGGTGGATGAAAGCCATGCAAAAGTAAATGACATGGACAGTGGTCCCCCTGTCCACAGAGCTAACATTTTTGTCAGCTTTCATAGGTTTGGCCTTGGTAAATTCCTGCTGGTTTTAATGTCACCTTCTCGTTCACATTCATGGATATATCTTCCAGGGCAATTTACTTCATAATCCTTGCAGGGACTGAGATTACATTTACCAACCCAACTGAGTGCTCCTCCTTGAAGGATTCTGGTAATCAGAAGCCTTGATCACTTGCTATTATCCTTCAAATGCCTGCAACATAGGCTGTCTCCCTCAACACTGGTCAAGTGCTTCCCATTTTTTCCTAGGCGTTATATGCATGCCATTTTCCTAGGTATGTGGCTTAGAAGGCTGAAGCAAAGACAGACTGAACTCTGCCAATAGGCTCAGGAACCTGGGAGGCCCCAGGGGAAAATTTACCATTGGAAAATGAGTGCTGTGAGTATGCTTGATATGGTTTAACTCCAGCTGGCAACTAAGCCCCACACAGCTGTTTGCCCATCCCAGTGGGATGGGGGAGAGAATCAGAAGAGTAAAAGTCAATAAAACTCATGGGTTGAGATAAAGACCATTTAATAGGCAAAGCAAAAGCTACCCACACAAGCAAAAGCAACTCAAGGAATTCATTCCCCACTTCCAATGGGTAGGAAAGGGTTCAGCCAGGGAAGCGGAGCCCTGCAAGAATAGTGTGGAAGATCTTTGTGTGTTAACACTTTAGCAGCTGAATGAATGAGACAGACTTCTCCTGAGGGTATGCAGGGGAGATGTGTTCCTTAGTGTCTCTGTGTAAATAACAGTGTTACAGATAAAATAGAGGCTAAAACTGCCACTTTAAAGATAGCGTTGCTCTGCCTAATTTTACAGGTAGCTGTAGAGATTGTCAGAAACATTAGGGAAAAAAACTGGATTTCCATTAGAAAGTACCCCTTTGGTGTCACTCTGAAGGCTTTGTTAGTCTATCTGTTCCTCAGTCTAGCATTGTAAGAGGACACCAAAAGTCAAGTTTGTTCTCAGCATACAACAATGGCCAAAAAGGTACTGTCCTGTATGTCAAGTTTATATGTATATATGAACAAGCAACAATGGCTTTTTTCATTAATTTTATACTAAATTAATCAGAGTGAATAAAAATAGCACAACTTTAAACTAAAATACCACTTCAAACTGTGTATTACTTAAATCTCCTGGAAGGTTTCTGCTGATTCTTGTGTGTACTGGTACAGTAACAAGTCCTGTATTGGAAGAATATCCAATTGGAAGTTTTTACCCAGTACTTGTTCCAGAGGAGGAGTAACTGCTTGCTTTTCTTTGTGTAGTAGTATGTGATGTCTGTTCACTATGGATATACAGATAACATACTGCTTGGAGAGAGACCATTACTTTTTTTCTTAAGTATAGAACAGGCATTTATACCTCACCCTCAATGTGGTGTTCAATAAGTAAGCTGATGGAGAGGTGCATGCCTCTAAGAGCACTATTTGTATATAAATTGCCATCTATTTAACTTCTTGCTCCATGTCTTTGACTCCAGTAATATCTTCCCTAGGTAACTTTTAGTCCTATGACTTAGAAAATGTAAATTATGTCTAAACCATGTACACGATGTCTTCATAGCTGTAGGAGACATATTTCTGATAAGTTACTAATTTACCATTCTTTGAACTTGGTGTGTGGAATCGTCAAGAGCTTAAATGGCAAAATTCTTTAAGGGGATGAAACTGTTTTGTTATCATGATTGTGAAGATGGGCCATCTTGCAGCAGTGCTCTTTGCCTGGTCTCTGTGTTCACCTTGAGTGGATGTAGACTACTCTCCCTCACACTTCTTCTTGGTGTAGGAAACATGGTTGATCTGATCACAAAGGTGGCATGTTCTCAACATGTTCTTGTTCCTACTTTGGCATCAGTTCAGCCTTCTGTAGCGACACCAGCTCTTTGCCCTTGTCCATAGCAATTGTGCCTTACCTCAGCCCCAGAACTACCAGTTTTACCATTTCTTTATGGAGCAGTAATCACCCTGGTGCCCTTAAACATTTCACTGCTGTTCCTGAGAATGTCATAGTCAGTGTGACAGGTTGGCACCAAGATTCTCCGTCAGTGTTTCTGACATAGCACTATGCAGTATTGCTGCTATTCAGAACTTCAGCACTGTTTAGATACAGATGTAGATGAAAGGAGCTCTTTTTTTTAGGTGCTAACTACTGGAAGTAAGTAATAAAAACTCATAAAATTATATTGTTATTAAAGTCTTTTCAGCTTAAAGCTTCATCAACTTACTTAAACTAAAGTGTAAATAGAGTCTTTTGGTTCAGATGATTTCACAGAAGAGAGTTAAAATAAAATTGCAAATATGTGTACATAGGTTAAATACTTATCTTGAAATTCATGTTAATGTGTTCTTTTTAATACCTTTTATAGCTGGCAACCATGCAACAATCCCTCAACTTGTTACAAAAAGATAAAGATTACCTTAATCGCCAGAACATGGAGCTTAGTGTTCGCTGTGCACATGAAGAAGATCGTCTTGAAAGACTACAGATTCAGCTAGAGGATGCCAAAAAAGCTAGGGAAGAAATGTATGAAAAATATGTTTCATCCAGGCAAGTTATTGTCTTGCACTTCTATCAGTAGATAGGTTAACTGTTTTCCCTTGTTTCTTGCACAAATCCTCTTTAATTAATTTTGTTTTTTAGAAAACTACCCATGTTTTTTAGAAAACTACCCATATTTTTTTAACTAGAAGCAGAACACTTTTCTTGGGTCATAGTACATATCACAAACTTTTTTTTTTAACCTTTATAAGATCATAGCAGTGGAAGCAAACTTCCAGCATAAACTTGGACATTTATGGCAATTATTCTTGTAGATTTGCTCAGTTAATTATAAAACAAACTTATTGTTTTCGGTGTATATCGATAAATCTTGTGTCCTGTCTAACTAAGAGGAAGTGTGCTAATATGACTCTCCCGATAGACAACTAAAACTAAAATTGTTATCTAAATGAAAATAGAAGGGCATTCTTGAAATGATTAGTTATGGACTCCAGCCCATATGAGAAGAGTTTTGAATATTACTTTTCCTTTCAATGCAATCACTCAAAGTTTTTTAAATTTTGTTTTGCATGTTTATATCTCAGAACTATGTTCACGCAGAACTTCAGTACTTTAAATAAAAAATAGTCTTACTTTTGAAAATTTAAGACATCATTCTTTTTGTTTGGGTTTTTTTTTATGATAAACCTCTTGATTTGTGTAAAAGGTCTTCATAGAGTATTATAGTGTGGCACAGTTGAGGAACGAGAAGAAATAAGTTTACTTTTATCTTGAAGGGTCAACTGAAATATACTGTCTCAATAAAAAGAAAACCTGGAAAGTCTTCTTTTACAAAAGGAAAAAGAAATAAAATAACAGGAAAATCTGACTGCAAGCATTCTCCATTTTAAGATTTTGGGGCTTCTGGTCAATGTGTGGAAGTTCTTGAACAGCTCAAGTACTCATTTCTAAGAATTATGGGCTATCACATGACTGGAAATCAAATGAAATCTAAAACCTTTTATAGTTGTAAATTCACATATCTTCATAATAATGTTTGGTTTTTTTTCTAAACCTGTGGTTTTTACCAGTTGCTTAATTGCTGATTAATTATTCTTGAACATTAACTAGATGCTATAAAATTTTGACATTCCTTAACCGTTAAAAGCGCTTACAACATAACCCTGTTTTTGTAGGCGAGATTCTTTATGAGATTCCTTAAATCTGTCATGAGCTTCAAAGTTACAAAAAAAGTCAATGTTTCTCTGAAATGAAATTCTTTTATCCTGATATCTTCTGATACCTGTTGCCTAAAAACTTTGTGTTTTAAATAATTAATATGTTACATTGACAGGATAAATTCCCAGATTTTGGGGGTTTTTGACTTCACAAATCTCCATTTAATTTTCAGTGATGGTTTCTTGTGATGGTTTTTTCCCCTCATATGAGGTGCAGATAGTGCACAAAGAAGTCTTGTAGTGTCATGGCAGCATTGCAAGTCAATAAGTTAGTCAGTCCTTACCCAGTAATGAAGTAGAAAGTGAGGAGTTAAATGATTACTTAATATAAGCACTTGTGTAGAGACTGACAAAGAAGTTCTTGAAGAATGTTAATGTTATGTGATTAATCAATATTAAATAACTTTAAAAATTTAAATCTGTGTGTAAAAGACTTCTGTTCATTCACAGTTAAATATTACTTATTTCTGGTTGATTTTCATTTAGTTTATATAGCAACATAGGCTGATAAGTATTTCAAGTCATTGAGAGGTAAATTAATAAAGATCGAAATAAAATGTAAAATCAAGAACTCTGCTCTTGTAAAGCTGTACCTGAAGTTTTGATGTTTTGACTAGTGCAATATGTTTATTTACAGAGACCACTATAAAGCAGAATATGAAAAGAAACTGCATGAAGAGCTGGAACAAATAAGGTTGAAAACAAATCAAGAAATTGAGCAACTAAGAAGCACCTCAAAAGAGATGTATGAACGTGAAAACAGGTAGGTAAGGTGTAGGCAGTAACCTAATTGAGAAAGAAATGACAAGCACTGTTTTGTGCTTAGCTATGGTCCTAGCTGACTGACTCTTTGAGAGGTGTTGAAAATGTAACAACTTAAGCTCAGTTGTAAAACTGATGGGAATCTTGTAAAAACTAAAATGAAATTATACTTGTACAGTAAGTTTATATATTTAAGTTGTCATATTTATTAGTAAATGATGGACAGTCAATATTATCAGTTGAAAAGGAATATTAAAATTCATGTTCTAAAATCTGGTGGTTTGAAGTTTGTTCAGAGGTATAACATTAGTTAATTAACACTGGATGACATTTTACATGTCATGCTCTAGGGACAATCTTGAAACTGTGCTGGAAATCCAGAAGAGAAAGTGTTGATGCAGAAAATAAGGCAGGGAAAGCCCAAAAGAGATAAGACTTAGGCTGGTATGAAATAAATCTAATTGAGTTTTTTTAGAGTATCAGTATTCAAAAAAAACCAAACATTGATTTCCTGTAAATTATTGTAAAATTGTCTTTTGAAGATGATTCTTGTCCTGCAAAGACTTGCATGATGAGTTTGTATGTGTGCCATCTAATTCAATACCATGGAATTACATACACATGCATAGGCCTTTTCGGGACTTAGGGATTTGGACCTTTGGCACCAAATTTCTGTTTTAGCTTGTTTTTTGCCCATTTTATTGCTTTAAAATGGGAGGAGTGGTTAATAACTTCACTGTAGATGTCGTGTGGAGAAGGAAATGACAGTAGTAAAAAGATATTTGTGGCATCAGCATCTGTTCCTCTAATAGGTAGTTTTGTTACTGCTGGGAAGAGTGGAAAAAGAACAGGGCTTCTGCTGTGTTTCAGTCAACAGAAAGGTTCTAATTAAAAAACAGTTACATCATTGTGTAGTTTTGCAAGTGTGAGTAAAATAGACATATACGTCCACACCACTTCCTGTATGCAAATGTATTTTGAATTACAAAGTATGAATTTAAACATGCACTCCTTTGGAGATTTGACAAGCGTCTGTATATCATTGAGAAAGCTACTGAAAGATATTTCATTTGTATGTGGAACTGCTTTACAGAAGTTTTTTTCCCTCATTTTGAAATAATTACTTCTAAAATGCAAATCCCTTAGATTTGCCTATATGTTTAGCAAAAAAAAAATTAAAATAAGGCTTTCTAGCATATGTTCTTTCTAGAAAATACTAAAAAATCCACTGTAAGGCAGTCTGCCTCAACAGTAAGATGAATGGAACCTCAAATTGTGAGCAAAACAATTTGCAGTGAGTTTGTGTAATGTGATGAGATGCTGTTTGTGGCTGAAAATGAAGTTAAGATGCTGGTTTCATCCTCCTGCTCAAAGCATGGAATGGTATTACAGCTAAGCTAATCCAATATTCAGTTGCTCATATTCTTTGTCACTTTGCCAAGCCTGATAGTTCTTTTGAATTTATTGGTGCATGTTTTACACTTCGATGAATCAGTTCAATAAACTGAAATGGGAGGGGGCCACTAATAAAAAGGTGATGCTTTCATGCCCAATTTTTTTGGCATCAGTTTCACTTGTATGGTTGTTGTAAGCATGGGCATTAGCAAACATGAGTGAATTCACAGGGCATGTGAATGTCTGCAAGAGATTTGACACTGAATTATCTGTAGTCTGTTCCCATAGATCAAACACAGTTTAGTAAAAGCGTGTGAGATGCTTTCCCTAAGCACCTTTTCTGATGTGGTCGAATCTAACTGGAATCCAGTTTGTGCATTCTAGACCAGTTTAGGGATGTGACAAAGTGCGACAAATGACAGTTGCAAAGAGGTTTGTTTGAAAACCTAATAAAGGCACCCATGAGCTGCTGCCTCCCATGTCTTCATCCCACCTTTTTCCCCCCCCCATGCCCATTCTTGATTCTCTAGATAGTATTTCAGTCCCATTTCAGAAAGTTATTTTCACTTGTGTGATAGGCTGGCTAGATGCCTCATAAGGCCCCAGTGCAGCCATTTATGTAGGTGCTTCACCTCCTGTGAAATGGCAATCACACAACTGGCAGCGTCACTGATGTGTGTCTCCTGTCTCTAGAAAGAGAGCATTTCAACAGAAGTTACATCACATCTATGATTGTGGTCTTGTTGGCTGAATAGTCCCTCACTTGTGTCCTTTTCCTCTTACTGAATTTTCAATTGATTATTTGTTCAGCTAAACAAAAGAGTTTATTCTCTAAATGAGTCTCTATCTCTCCTACTGTTTCATTTTTATCCCACCTGCACTATTCTGGTCTTAAGGATACAGCTCTGGACTCCTACTGTAAGACATAATATGCTTGATCTTAATGTTGTTAACAAAATGTATTGCCATGTTCCCATAATTTGGTATGAGTCACTTCTAAAGAATCTAATCTTAAGGTCAGTCCCTGAATTTCTGCACTAAATTCTATAGCCCAGTAACTCAATTTTTAAAGAAAATTTTGTTACCTTTCTCTAATAGCCAGTTAACTGCTACATAATTCTGATGTTAATTTTTTCTAAGTAACTGTTTGCTGTTTGTATGAATTATTTTGAATTCAGAAAAGTGCTGCTGATAACATTTATTCTAACAAATAGTCTTTAAACCAGAAATTATATACCTTTAGTGTGATACAATGACCTAGGTTAACATTTACATAAACATAATAATTTTCTATTTTCCTTTGTATCCTGACTTTTCACTTTTCTCCAAAACTTTCCTGAGCCTTTAATTTCACTTTGCCTTAAGTCAGAAAGTTGTTGTGGGGAGAGGAAAAAAACTTCAGTAGGAAGATGTTGATTGCATCCACATTAGCAGATCAGCTCAGATGAAGAATGTGGTGTTGAAGTGAAATCCCCTAGTCATAGCTGCTAGCCATGGTTTTAGCTTGCCTTGCAGCTGTGCATGGATTTGCTCATATTTGTAGCATATGAATAGGATTCCTTTGAGATAAAACAAAATTGAAAGGAATCTTTAAGATCATCTAATATGTTTCAAATGCTGGTGAATGTTCCTCATAGAAGCAAACAAGCAGTAGAGTAAATGCTTAAAAACAGTCATAACAGAGATGTCTGATCCTCAACAACCACAGTGAGCTCTGGCAAATTGGCTGGTGCTCTGTTACACTAAATATTGGAGATTGAGTTTATATACAGTATCTAAGCAGTGCTTCCCCTCATTACAGTCTACTGCAGTCTTAATTTGTAGCCTGCTTGCAGCATAACAGACTATTAATAAGTAATTCCAATTTTTAAACACAAATACTATATGTTTTATTCTTACTATCATGCTCTTCTCATTTCTGTTGGTCAAATAATAATTGAGGTAGTTTGAACATCTTGACTGATCCCTAGTTATAAAAAAAGGAGTATCAGTTGATTGTAATAAAATTTTATTTTATGGTTCTTTGCAGGTCAAAAATGTTGCCAGCAATAAAACCCAGAAGGAGACTCCAGTGATATGCAATAACATATACATCACAGTAACTAGACAATTAGTTACATGTGAAAGTAGGATTTCTATCATTACCTAAACTTTCCTTGCTCTATCAAAAGTTGTACATCATCTCAGCTAGACAGACAGCATTCCTGAAGTTATTCCCAAAGCACCAAGGAAAATCATTGGAATTAATTTAATTCCTGCAAAAAAATTTTTTTAGTTCTAGTATTCTAGAATAATTAGAGTTATATGTTTCCACCTGTAAATAGGTGATTTGATAATTGTTTTTTACAATTTCAGAACTAGAAGCTTTTATGGTATATATGAAAATAACCTGAAGTAAAGCCTCTGTAATAAATAGGTGAATAGATAGACCCCTCTGTGATTCTGTGAGAGTTGAAGAAGGTAGCATTGAAATTCAGATCAGAGAGCAGCAATTAATGATGCAAAGCAATCTTGTTTCCAACAGATTCTTAACAGAATAATGTTTGTTTCCTTCAGAAATTTGAGAGAAGCACGAGATAATGCTGTTGCAGAAAAAGAGAGAGCAGTTACTGCTGAAAAGGAATCTTTAAGAAAATACGATCAACTCTTAGAACAGTAAGTGTTTTTAAAATACATACAAAAATCTAAAGATATAACAGTGGAGGTCTGGGTAGGAGGAATGATTAACTTTCTGCTTAGAAAGAACAAATTGAATTACAACCTCTTCATTTAAATGAAGTTGCAGACTTAATTCTTGCAGTAAGTTCTTTCCATTTTCACTGCAGTAATAAGATCAAAGTTTGGTATTTCTCCTATCATACTACAGAGACAAGCAAACATTCATTTCATAGCAAGAATGTCAATTTTATACTGTAAAGTAGCAGTGGTCAAACTCTGAACCTGTTTGTGGGGTTTTTTCTTTAGTTGAAAGTAGAAAATTGTCTTGTAAGATGACTTCAATTAATAGTTTTTATGAAGTTTAGATAGAGGGCAGTAGTCATGAACAATTATGTTTGCTACATGTTTCTCTTCTTACTACTGTCTCTTCGCAGTCTTTTATACTCCATGTGTAGAATATATTGTCTATACCAATGTACATTTCCATTCAATGGAGAAAGAAACTATAGGTGATTTTTTGCCTGTTTACAAGCAGTCTTTATGTTCTGTAATGCCTTTTCCTTACTTTTTGTAAACATAGAAAATAGGCTGTGGGTAAACTATGAGGTAAGGTAAAACTATGGACAATAATCAAAGTTGTTCAGGTTAAGTTTGTCATGTGTCTTTAGTTTTGGATTTAATTCATTATTTAATACAATTTTTTTTTCTATAATGAAGAGATCAATTCATTAAGTGACTGTGCTACCTAGTCATCTACTCAAAGGAAGTACTAGATGAGCCTTCTTTCCCCTGAATAATTTTTAACTACAGTTAAAATGTTGTTAACTTAAGCATAGGAACAAATTTATTAAAGCTTTTGATTTTTATGTGTAACTCCTAAATTGCAGTAGTGATACTGTTGAAGAAATAGCATTTTTTAAGGATTGAAAAAATGTGATTTCTAACTGATGATGTCAAACAATAGGGCTACGTCTAGAATAAAAGAGATGGGTCAGAGGACTTGATATCCACAGTGGGTGTAAGGGGCTTGACTTCAGATTTGTTCTTCAGCTGAATGGGCCCAAGGGTGCGGAATGCCTTTTAGTGGTTAGAGCACATTGGAGGGGTTGTTGGGTTCTCCAAAGGAATTCAGTTTGCAGTCTCTGAGGTGATGGTTCCACAATGCAGAAATCAAAGCTGTTTGAATAGAGAGGGCTAGGAAACTTGGTTCAAAACTGATCTCCTGGGTTAAAATAAAATGCTAATGTGAGTCAACATGGGTTTTTTTCTAATGAGACTCCTGCCTTCTACTGTGGTAAGATTTACTGAGAGATGGGGATTTCATATGTAACTGGAAGCTCCTCTTGAAAATCACTCTGGCATACCATAATTTGAGTTTGCCCTTTTACTTAATAAAAATACTAACTTTGCAATTCTTCTATATTTATTTTTAAGCTTAAGAACTGTGGAGAAAATACTTTTCTGTCCAGCTGTATTCCCAGTCATATGTGTCCTTTTTTCATACTGTTTCTTTATTTTGAGGAGAGATGTCTCACTGCAATTAGAAACAGGAATCTTATTTGATACACTTATGCCTCTGTGCTCTTATAGCTTTTTCTAATGATAAGCCCTCCTGTTAAGTAAAACTCTCATTTCGTCATGTTAAATAGATTAATAAGTTGATTAATGCTGGGTTTTGGAGTTCTAAGAAGTAGATCACTCCTCAGAAGATTATTTTCTGCTTGGGAACATGGAAAATCATACTAGCCTTTTTTGAAATGTTGGTGTCTCTCTTTAAAAGTACCTCGCTTCTAACCACATAACAGGTGTCAAGACTGTGACTTTCTCCACATTCCAAATCATCTACCTAAGTGAAGTGCCAAGTAACTAACTGGTATGTTGAGATGGTAGAAATAACTTGAAAGACTCCCAAGTTCTGAGTTTACTGTGGACTCACATGTGACAGTTCTGTGGAACAAAGAAATTTTCTTAATATCACCAGAAACCTCTAAAATGAAAAAGGAATACCTGTGTTGTCCAGTTCTGTATTTAAGTGATTATAACAACTTGTTCTACTTTAGTAAAGACAAGGTGACTCATCGTAGTTACCACTGGTATCATAATCTGTATAAACAAACATGTTTGAAAGCTTCAGAACTATGTGGAATGTTGACTGGCCTGAATGGTGGTTAAATAAAGCCCCTGGCAAATCTTGTGATCAGAAGTGTAACTAATACCCAGTTTTCTAGTCAGAGTGCAGGGTTTTTTTTCTTTTTTTTTTTTACTCTTGTTTGTGATAGTTTTCTGTGAACTGCTATTTCCAAATGCCAAGAAAATACCAAAGTGATAATATTCATGAAAAAGTTATATTGAGAAAGGATCTGCTGTTTCAACCTTAAAAGTAGACCACTGTAATGTCAGGATGTAAGTTTTGTTGCTCTCTTTGCCATTATACATCTGTAATTTCTGTCTGAGAATCCATGTTTCATTTACCTGTGACAATGTCTACAACCTTAAATTACTGGATATTTTTGGATTAAAGTCTTGTCAATGTCACACATATTTTAAAAAAAAATATGACCCAAGGGAAACATTTTCACTTGTTGTTGGTAATGTGACTTAAGACTTTTTTCTAATTTCAAAGCTGTATTACCTCAGTTGAAATTGTCTAGGGGTAGAATAAGCAGAGCAATTCTGTAACAGCTCTGTCATCAACACGGTTAAGTGCAGGTGCTAAATATGTTCCAGCTTTTCCTTCTTTTGAACACTCCTGGAGTGTTATTTTCAAGCTGTTGACTGTTAATCTGTTACTTCTCCTTTCCAAAAGAAAAATATCCAACCCACCAAAACGCCAACAGCAAAAAAACGCAAAAAACCAACGCCAAAAAAGTAGAAGTACACTGTGTTGTGTTATTGGGCTTTTTCCTGAAAAGGTGCCTCGTCTCCTATTATGTGCAACATCAAACTTAAATGGTTTCTTTTGTTAAAGTGGACTCGGAGGTCTAACATGGTGTGAACTCATGCTAGAGCACTTCATCTACAAGAACCATCTCTTGCCTTTGATTGTTGACTTCCTTGAAAGTCAAATTCCTTAAATTTCTTCAAAAAGGAATATAATGTCATTTTCCAGTACTCACCTATATCAGTGGAAACTGGTTTAAAAATTCTAGAATTATTGGGAGCGCAAGGGAAATTCGTACAAAACCTTTTTTTTCTTAGTGAGGAAAAAAATGCTCCTCACATCATGTACTTGTATTTTTCCTATTTTTTGTAATGATAAAGTGAGAAGTGTAGAATAATTAAGAGAAACAAAATAGATACGCAGTAAACAGAAAGAGTATTCAAGGAAATTGTGTTATGGCAGTGGTGTTCCTTCAACTTTGCAGTGGACACTATTCATAAAAACCCTTGGTTTTGTAAAAGCTAGTTTAAATTCCTGCCTCTGTTCATTAGGTAGTAGGATATTTTAAATTATGTCCTTTTTTTCTTTCTTATTTGCATATACACAGATACACAGAAGATGAATTTTAAACCATGATTCTATATTTGTGTTAAATCAGGGTAATGACTACAGAAATTGTTTAGATCCTTAGGTTTGTTCTATAAAGATTTCAAAGTATTTTGTAGTATTATTATTTAAACATTTCTGGATTGATGTACATAGATCAGTTTGTAAAGATTACTGAATTTATAATGGATGATCTGCTACAGCTAAAAATAACTTTAGGAGTATTTCTATTGTTTCTGCTTGGAAATGCTTTTCTCAAATAAAAACCAAAATAGAATAAAGATCATTTACATTTCTTGACAGCATTTGTCTCTGCCACATAGGTTAATAAAAGTATGCAAAAAGTTGTCCGCATGTTTGTATTTACAGATTTATTGCTTTTCTTTCCAGTCAGCTTCAAGATGACTATACAACTTAGAGACTTATTTTAGTCTTGCTGTAGTCTTTTTCACTTGAATCTTTTATCCGTATTTTTTTTTTTGTTCTTCATAATTGTGGTATATTTTAGAATTTATCAGATGCTATCTATTGCTAGTCATCTGTCTTAAACTTTTTAGGTGATGGAGAGAGAGGATCAATTCTGTTCATCAAATGGGTTTTTGAGTAAGATGAAATTAAGATCCCTATATCTTCTTATTAATTGCACACAAGCCTAGAAGACTATCTTAGGTGAGAAGATAATTGGATGAATTTCCTGAATAAATGTTAGAATACTTTTAGAATCTCTGTGGAGCATGCAGGAATCTCATAATTGGATTTTCATTTATTACATTATACTTTTATTATTAACAGAAACATTAAAACTAATTATTTTCCCCTTCTGATAACATCTTTTTTGTAATCTGGATGCTGCTGACTGCAGTGACAGGATTCTAATATTAAAATTACTAACTCAGTGTCTGTATGTGCTGGAGTTACTACTAATATTTAAATAGGGGTGTATATCTCTTCAAGAATATTTATATCAAATGAAGATTTCAATAATGAATTTTTTTAAATCCATACTGAAGGCTGCTGGCCAAAATAGTTCTTGGGCAAAGCTGCCATTACTCTGTGATAAAAACTACTGTCAGAACTTGATACTCCCTGCACATGACTGCTAGGTTTGTATGCGGGGTGTTTTGTAATCCCTTGAATTGAGGACCTCTGTGGGTCTTGAAAATCACTACCACTTTAAATCTGCAGTTTCAATTAACTCTGTTTATGCTTTCTAAAATGCTTTTCTGCTAATAATAATTTGATGCTTCTGTATTCATTTATGTGTTCTATTGTATTATGTGTATGCATAATTTTTTAACACTTAGAATTTCTATCAGAATAAAGCCAAGCCCTTCAATGGCATTATTAGACCTTGTTTAGAGTTCAGCCCTAGCCAAAGTAACTATTCCACATTTCCCATAAAACAACCTTCCTCTTGTTCTCCTGATGAGAAAGTTAAATACGAGGTACAGCTAAAAGGGTGAAATTCATGAATGTAATGGAAATTGCTGAAAGCCACCCTCTTGGAAAT